TAGGGGTGAGTGCGTTCCAAAATTCAACGCTAAGAATTTTTCGTTGCTGGGTCTTGACCGAAACAGCATAACGGTGATATCCTCTGCTGGGCTTTGTCTGTGTCTCAGCAGGCCCGGTTCGACGAATCGTGCAAACTGCCAAGCCAACCAGCCAGAAGCCCACAGGCCACAGCCCCACATTGTGGAGGCGGCGGCGGAGCCTTCGCCGGAGGAACTGGAGCCACCGAGGTGACGAGGTGGTTGGTGGTGGTGGAACTTGCAAGGGGCGAAGGAGGTCGACGCATGGGGGAGAGGGAGATCGGCGTCCTCGCGGTGCGGTGTTGCCGCTGCCTTGTCGCCTCGTCGGTAGCACCAAGCGCCATCTCGGTGAGCTCACGTCAGCCTCTCTTCAATTCCTCCTGTGATCCTCTTTAGGCTTAGCAGGCTATTGTCGGGCACACTGTGATAGAAAGTTAGAATTGTTGTCAAGTGTTACAGTCAATTCAATTAGGACAAATTTAGAATTTCTCATTCTGGTGAGGTAGAGTGGAACATAAGCATCCAAATTCATATTAACAGAAACATCTTTTGTGCATATTGGATCTTTAGCTGTCCTGATTGCCTGTAAGTTGTATCCTCGGACTAATTTGAGCCTTTTTAGATCCCTGTTGCAAATTCTATTGTAGATTCAGGCGAGAAGTGGGGGTGCCATTTTGAGGCCTAAATGTCCAAAATGGCTAGTTATTTGCGACCTTCAGTGCTATCTAGATTGTTTTGAAGTCAATAACTTTAGTATAATGCATGCAGCTCCACCTACCACTAACAGCATAAAAGGTAATCTATCTGTCAGATAAGGTTAGGATCCCACAATTGACTAGATGTCGCGTTCTCCTTTACCTTGATTCAACATGTTTTTATCAGTCTTGGAAGGAGCAAATAATCAAGAAAGGCGTGAATCACTTGATATCATCATTAATTATACTTTGGTCTTTGGTACCTTTTACTTGTAGCTGATGTAGTTCTGTGATTTATGAAATGTATGCTAGCTTGCTTCGGTAAATTGTTCTTCAAGAAACCTTTGCTAAAAAATTCATGAAGTAATATTCAATTTGTTGAATTGTAATTACTAAGGTCTGTAGTTCATCATACAAATGGTGTGAAGCTGCTCAGACATTAGGCCAGAAAAGGTATGCTGCATCATAAAACCAGACCTCTTCCTCTCCCTATCTTTGTGTGCCTTATCTGCAGTGATAAACTTGGGGACCAGAGTTAGCATAAAGTGATATAAGCTTATCACACTTTATTTTACCTGTGATGTGAGTCACACCTGAATATTTAAATGCCACCCTTTTCTAGAAGTGTGTATGTGAGGTATGAATTCACCCCATCTATATATAAAGAGTTAATTGTTCTGGTAATTGTTTCAGATTAATAAAGATGGTACACGATGTTGGCTTCTTGTCCCCATTGATATTTGTACATTGTACTGTTCTTTTCTATACTTCTGTCTGAGCTCTTATGTCTTATCTTCATAGTACTCTTGAGGAAAGTATTGGAATGAAAATGATGGTTGCTAGCGAAGCACTTTGCATATGGTACTTAGTTATTCTAGATCAACACATAAAATCTTGCCTTATAGCAGCTCCTCCAGATTGATTAAAACGAATCCTCTTTCCCTATAACCAGCAATAGAGGGGATTAGATGCAAAAAATGAGCTCCACCAGATCCCCTTTCTAATCCCCTTCCAAAAAAATTTCTCAGTTCCTCAAATCTCCCATCTCCCCTCAAATAAAGGGGACCAAGCAACAATTCTTCTGAATCCCCTTTCTTACTTCCCCTCTCACTGGTATCCGGACCCCAAGCTGACACTGTATCTCGCAAAGACCGGGCGAACTGGCGTCGCGCCATGCTGGGCGGGCGCCAGCGCCGGGCGGCCTGCCACGCCGCACAGAGTCCTGCACCACCTAGACTTGGGCAGGCCGCTGCCACACACCCCGCGCCACACTGATCCCCGCATCGGGTAAGCTGCATCCGCAGCTAGAGGAGAAGAGATGAAGAGATATTTGTTTCACTGACACGTGGGCCCCACGTATTAATGGATGAGTGTTTCTCAATCTGCTGGAGCACATATCCCCTATACTATTTAAATCAGTTTTCTCAAACCACTATACATGATTTTGAGGGAAAGGGGAAAACAAAACACTGTGTGCATGTATGCACTTTCAACTGAATTCTTGGTTTGTTGTATGGTATCTGATGGCTAGCTTACTGTAAGGATGCAGCAGCATTCCTGAACATATTGCTGGGTCGCTTGATTTTGGACAGGCAGTAGATGAGAATTGGAAGTGAGAGAGTATGCTCTTCCTGACCTTTTCTATTCGGTACTGTCAGAACTCAGAAGTCTTTTTATGAATATTAATATGGATGTAAAAACACAGTGTTTCAGTAAAAAAAATGAAGTATAAAGACCTACTCAGCCTTTTTGGCTTTATCATCTGCATTATCTATTCAAACTGACAACTCTTTTCTTAGTTTTGTAGTCTCTTTATAGGTTTTCCCATCTTGTTGTGAAATATAAGCTTTACATATGAAATTATCGATGCCCCCTTTTCTCTTTCTTCCCTCACTTACCAACTTATCCTATATTCTCTATCATTTAGTTGGTATTTATAGCAAAGATACCAGGGTCATTTTCTCTCATCTTTTGGTTTTCACCTTGTTAATCCTTGTGGCTATGTTGCGCAAGAATGCAGGCAAGGCAGAAATGGCCAGATGCATTCATGTAACTATGCATGTAGATTTTCTTGAGCTTTTTTCGGTTAGTAATCTGGATGCACCACTGATCAGTAGCCATACCTTTTATTCTGTTTTTATTTCTTTTCCTGGTTTGCTTTAAATCACTTTTGTTGAACGAATGCTATTTGTCCTGCTGACTAAGTTAAGATAAGGTATTAAACCCTTCTTGTAACTTAAGAGTGACTAGATAGATCTAGGCTCCAAAGCAGAAAGTGATGGGTTGAGATAAGCTTAACTATGGATAGCCTGTAACAATCATATGACTCACACGTAGATGTCTACAACTTCACACTGAAGATGCGTTAGGAAAATGGTTCGACCAAGGAGTTCGTTGTGCATATCCGAAGTAGGAACCATTTTATATTTTTCACATTTGACAGAGCTCATATGATTGTGTTGCTCTTTGCACATGACCATATAACTAGAAATTAAGAATAATGCATCACGACTGATAAGAGACTATATGTTTGGCAGAGAACTGTTGTGACAACCATTGGTTCAAATTGAAATAAAAGTGCTTCACCAAGTTATTGAATCCTCATAAAAGCAACCATAGCTGTTAAGTCCACCTGTCTAAAGAAAAGTGCTTCCTTCAATTTCATTTTTAATGGGGTACTGTGGTTATATTTTTAATCATATTACCGAATCAGCCCCATAGACCCCGGGAACGCGGAACCATGCTACATTCCTCGTCCTGGGAATGCCTTTCCCGTTCGAAGAACATAGGAGCAATCTCGTCCCCACCTTGTGGCTTCTCAAAACCTTCCTGGGAACTTGGTGACTGTGATCAGTCCTTTCTGTGCTACACTGATAAACAAGTTAATTGACTTCGCTACCGGCTGAGCTTATGTATGTAGGCACCATATTAAAGAAGCATTCAGCTTTGTGGAGGAAGCAACACTCATAGTTTATACAATGCTCCATAGATAACATGTTTAACATATTTTTTGTGCCTAAATTGCTTTTTGTCGACTAACCACTCATTCAAGGGGTGCTCCACCTAGTAGGATGCTGTTGATAGCCCAAAGCAGTTTTAAGCTGACAAATCAGACTCCGATTTGGTAGATTGCTATGGTTCACACAAAGTGGACAGGATCAAAACAGAGCAACAAAGGATAAACATATGCTTTGTGAGTGCGCAACAAATATATAGCTTCTCCATTTCCTTTGTGTTTAAGCTTAGATGATTCCTTTCCCCTTTTTTAGTATAGCAGTCTTATCTTTCTTGTAGCTATAAGTTAAATAATGTCGCTGTGGGCTTTGGCTATATATTTTATTCCAAGTTACCATCGATCAGCTTACACATGAATTGAGTTAATTCAAATTGATCAACTTATTCAGCATGTTCTTCCTCTGCAGTTAGGAGTCTTGTTTGCATAAAATAAAGAGGAATTGCACCGAGTGATAGGTATTTATATTTCTCTTTTACTTAGTTTGATAAGTATGACTGCATACTTTTAGTTAGAAATTTATTGCCAAAAAGTGAACAATATTTGGTGCCGCATCATTTCACTTTGCAGGCGTTGTGAGTATGACGTGTGCTTTGCATGGACCAGCACCTGACTCAGTTCCTGTGAAGTCATGAACCCACCAACAGAGGTCAAATAGCTGACCGCAGCCAGAATGTTTACAACCACACATGATGATCCTATAGCTGGCTAGAAGCTTAAAATATTTACAGTCATCCAGCATAACCTTAGAGCTGGTTTGAAGAGGATGCAGCCCATGCAGCTACACAAACGTCCTGTTCGCTGGTTGGTTTCTGGGCTGATAAGCCCGGCTGGTGCTGGTTTGTTGTGAGAGGAAAACACTATTGGCTGGCTGATAAGCCCTGACTGAAACCAACAAGCGAACATATATGTTTATCCTTTTAAAACCGCCATTCTTCTTTTCTCAGACAAAATCTGAGTTATAGTCTCCACGCTTTGCATATGTACTTCTTATACATTATTATCAGGCAGACAAGAGATTTTGCTGTGTGTGGCCCCTCTGATTCCCAAAAACCCACTGAGATGCAGTCCACTTACCATAAGCAAAGAAGCTTCCAATTTGTGCACATTCCAACCTTTGCCAAATGCTTTTTGTCTCAATTGGCTGGCAGAGACCAAAGGGGCAAGGGCGAAAGAGGCAGCATATCATGTACCAAATAAAATAATCCACGTATTATATTATTGCAGCCTCAAAGAGCCTATAAATACTTCAGCACAGACCCAGTTGATTCGACATGAGGCAGACTAAAAACAAGAACATACCTACGCAACTAGTAGAGCTACAGATTTGCCCTTGCAGGACTATGAAGAAAGCTGGGTTTGTGCACCAGGACATGCAGTACCCAAGAAGGACACTGCTGCACACTCCATTCTCTGGGCATCCCTCTGGTCCAAGCCAGCCATTAGATGGAGCCGCGGCCACAGATGGTGGGGCTCCAGGAAGCAACTTCGATGCAAACATCGTCATGATCCTGGCTGTTCTTCTGTGCGCACTGATCTGCGCTCTTGGGCTCAACTCCATCGTTCGGTGTGCACTGCGGTTGTCGAGCCAGATGGTGGTGCGCCCTGAACCAAACCAGGCGACGCGGCTTGCTCAGAGCGGGATGAGGAGGAAGGCCCTCCGAGCCATGCCGATCCTGGTCTACTCGGCTGGGCTGAAGCTCAATGCTGCTAACCCGATGTGCGCAATCTGCCTTTCAGACTTTGAGGCAGGGGAGCATGTCAGGGTCCTCCCCAAATGCAACCATGGCTTCCATGTCCGGTGCATCGACCGGTGGCTGCTGGCGCGGTCGACATGCCCAACGTGTCGGCAGTCCCTGTCTGGAGTGCAGCAAAAGGCCTCTGGCTGCTCTGAGGCGAGCCGGGCTGAGCCAGAGCCTGCACCTGCTCGCCCTGTCCTTGTGCCGCTCAGACCTGAAGGTTTGGTCACTCCTTATGATTTTTAGAATGTTCAATTGCTTCTTAGTTGTTACATAAAGGTGGAGAAAAGGTAGAAACAAAAAATTGTGATCATTAGATCTTACTGCCAATCTGGTTTGTACATTGTTGCTGGAGAAAAGGAGATGTAAAGATTTTCTAGTTTTTGACTTGCTGTGTCAGTGCCGATTTTTGCTGGAGAATGTGCCATGGAAAATACCAGTTGCTATGGTAGGCCTTTTTGTGAATCACCATTTCAATGTGAGTTTGTAAAATGTAAAAAGAAGAGACATGATTGGCCGGTCTAATCATATGGCAGTGCTGCATCACCACTATGGTGATTGGAGATCAAGCTTTAGCTGCTAAGGTTCACTTCAGATTTCAGTGGGAACAGCATATTCTATGCCATTATGAAGAGGTCCGGGGCTCAGGGCTTGTGATATGCTTTTTGCTTCAAGGCCATGGTTTTAGACCTTTATCAGTGGTCATGTATGCACCCGCATAATTGAGAGGTGGGCCCACACCCAACTATACCTGATGCACATTGGCTAATTATTTGCTATTTCGTTCGTGCCATCGTGTGAATTGATGCGCTGCCAACAGAAGAACGGAGTGGCCAATGATAAAGCTCAGGCGCTGTGTCAAATTGCTATTGCTCATGATATTTTTCTCCTGTTTGCTCTAAAGGCTAAAGCGATTAAGCTAGTGCCTTTGGAAAATAGCTGGTTTAGCTATGTGGCTCTCGTATCTGTTGCTTAGAAAAATCAACAAGAACTTTGGGTTGTGCTCGCTGAGAAAGAGAACTGCCCGGATTCCCACTCATAAGAAAGATACGCTTGTGTTTTTTCAGAGCTTCCGATTGATATAGTGTTTCCACTATGTTTTTTCAGGCTGTTTGGCCCGGGCATCTTCCGATTGATATAGTGTTTCCACTATGTTGTTATCAAGAATTCAGGAATAGTGCTAGTGTGCTACTGCTGTTCGAAGAGGTCCCATTTACCGGATATATAGACGGCACTTTACAGAAATCTGGCAACAGCATCAGCTCTTTATTCGCCAAACTATCCCAAGTTTATGCCATTTTCAACCGAATCGTTGATGTTATGCTTGTCATACTTGTACTCTTTTTTCTATTGACGTTTGTTTGGCAAGTTGCAATAAGTTTTCAGAAGGGCCGCAGGAGGCGTCCGGACGCTGCTCCTGTTAGAGCACATCGACCGCGCCCCGTCCTGTCCCCACGTAACAGAAGCGTGCCCCGTCCCGTCCCCGTAACAGAAGTGCGTCCTTAACCCCATAGCAACAGAAGCGTGCCCGTAAACCCATAGCGCCGTAACAGACAGGAGCACATCCGCCTCACCCCACCCGCGGATGCGCGTCGCGGAGGCATCTGCTGGCCTCAAGTGCCCGCACGGTGACCCACGGCGGCGCCCTAGCAATAGCAACAGGGGCTGCTGCAGGTGGGTCACATTGCAACATGTGCACATCCGATCTACTTTTGAAACATCCAGATGCAACGCTTGCAACATACGTTTGAAGACAGGTGAAACACTTGAAACATGCATTTGAAACACTTGCAAAAACACAAAAAAAACACTTGAAAACATTGCAAACCATACGCAATATCCGGATAAAACACTTGCAGCATACTTGTGAAGCATATGCAACATCCAGATAAACATACTTGCAACATACTTCTGAGAAAACAAATGAAAAATTAGGAACAAAAGCTTGCAACATACATGTACAACCATTACAACATATGTAACATCCCAATCTACTTTTGCAACATCTATATGGAACACTTGCAACATATCTCTAAAATAACTGAAACACTTTAAATAAATGGTTGCAACATGCGCTTTCAAACGCAACATCTACATACTGTTTGGACGAAATGGAGGCTCGTCGACGCGGAGCGGAGCTCAATGCTACGGAGTAGCGAGGGGGATGCAAGCGGGCAGGCAGCGGCGCAACCCCGGTGAGCGGGCTGGGTGGCTCCAGCGATAGGGGTGGGCGGGTGAGGTCCCCCACGGCGACGCGCCCCTGCGGTGGAGGCGGCAGCGCTACCCACGGCGAGCGCATGCGTTGCCCGTGGCTAGCGACCCTGCGCTGGAGAAGGTGAGGAGTGTGCAGGCGGCGCCGTGGAGCTGGACCCAGAGGTCGGATAGCGCTGTGGATAAGGCCTTCTGAACGACCAGACGGGAGTGGGTGAACAGGTGCGTCCGGGTGGACTGGGCGAACGGACGCCCTATTCTAATAATTGCCGATAAGTTTTCACTGAAATCTTGTACTATTCTGCCTGCCAATTTGTGACCCATTGTAGGTCATCTCCAGCTGCCACAAAATAGAAATTTCTAAAAATATCTCAGTTGAACTTGAGAAATACTCCCTCCATTCTAAATTAGAAATTTTTTTGCCTTTTCGAGGTAGGTAACTCATGTTACGTAGATATACATTATCTAGGACATATGGCTAACAAGAAATGACATAATTTTTGATAAATCTCAAGTAAAACATATTTACAAGTTCTATTCGTGAGAGGTTATTGGCTACGCTACGGTACAGCGTCAAGATGAGGAAAGAGAACTGCATTGCAGTGATGCTTTTTTTTTCCTCATGGATGACCCTTTACGTTTATACTTGAGTTTTAATCACATTTTGTCTTCTGAGTCGTGTGAGACCGTTTCTAGTCAGCTTTCTAATAGGTGAGGTCTGATTCCTCCTTTGAGAGGATGAAACTGGATGCTTTTTTTCGTTATCTTAAAAAAACATTATCTAAATAGATAGTAAAATGACTTATAATTTAGGACGGAGAAAATTAGCTGAGATACGAGATGTAGACATTTTCAAGACACAATTCGTTCATATAGCAGTATTGTTTTATTGTTCGCGCATAGCTGCTCCAAGCTTCACTTTTGTGAGCAACTCCAGCAATAGGCCTTAAATTGGAAACCTACTTTTAATTTTAGGGCTCTCCCATTTTTAGGGTCCGTTCTTTTACACTTGCTCCAATAGAAGCCCTTAAACCATAGCCCTCAAATTCTTTCGGATAGAGACTGACAAATGGGACCCACTTGTCATTCTCTCTCTGTCCCTTCCTCTTCTCCACGGTGCGCGCGCAGATTCACCCAGTGACCGCCTCCGCCTACCCCCCCCTCCCCCTCAACCATCTCCAGCGGCCCATGTAGCCCGCACAGATGGCGACGTTGGCCACGGCGTCTGCGATGGCGACCACCTGCTTCACGCTCTTAGCGGGCGCCGGCCTCCGCCGCCGCATCGGCCGCCTCCCCACCTCCGTCGGGGGAGGGCGCGGGGGAGGGCAGGTGCAGCAGGCGCGAGGTGCTAGAGCCGAGCGGGCAGCGCGGGCGGGCTACTTTCGCATGAGTGCGCGACAAAACGGACACCAACGGTGAATTGAGGCTCTGGCCTAAAGCCCCTAGGAATGAAGCTCAAAGGGAGATTTGAGGTATGCGGGTAAGATTCAGGATGCACTCGCTCTCTCAAATCGACCGAACCCGCTCCTTCCACCGAGACGCCGTGTTGCTCTGTCTTCTCTCTGTCTCTCTCGTGCTCAGGTGGTGGCGCGAGCATAGGGCGGCGACGGGATGCGCGAGGGCCAACGACGCGAACAGGCAAGCAGGCGGCGGCACGAGCATGCAACAGCAGAGCGAGCACGTGGCGGCAGAAGGAGCGCACGGGCCTGAGCAGCAGTGGCCAGTGGCAGCCGCACGCATGAGGGTCGCCGGCTGGACGCGCGAGGGCTGGAGTGAGCAGAAGCAAGGACGCGGTCGCGAGAAACGGGACATGCACGCGAGGGAGCAGAAGCAAGGATGCATACACGAGGAAGCCGCGGATAAGATCGATGAGGAAGGGAAGGGAGAAGAGCATACATTTGTATGACATGTGGGGCCATAGTTAACGGAATTAACTGCAACCAAACACAAAAAATAGAACCGCTCTACCCTTCTAATCAAACATGAGAATGGGACCATTGCATTCCTAAAAATAGGGACAAAACTATTATATTCTACTTGCTCTCTAACTAAATGCACCCTAAATTTAAGGGCTCTAATAGAGGCCCTGTTGGAGTGAGTGAGTTTTATTTTGTGCCTTTGCAGGATGAGGGCTCAACTATGGGTCGTGTTGGAGTTACTCTTGTAGAGTAAAAAAGGAACAGCTTAAATGTACCCGTAGCTTTGCATCGGCAGATTTATAGAGCTAGAAATATCATGTTCCAAAAAATACACACAAATGTTTTAGAGTGAGTGAGAGCTCTTTTCAAACGAGACTATTTGGACAAGATAAAAGAATGCAAGTCCAATGGCCAGTGATATTTCCGTGCCGCATTTTTCATCTGCGAACTCAAAGCAAGGCATCATCAGGCGAAAGCGAGTTGATACCGCGCTAAATTTACAGCACGCGCATCACTCCACGCCTCCACGGGCGAGGTCAGATCATGCCGAAAGATGAGCTTATCAGGAGTAGGTAAGTGGAAGTTCAAGATCTGTATATATCATGGCAGGCACCAGAGATGACTGATTTAACATTCGACGTCTCCCGATCCCTGATCCCACGACCCATGTGGTTGGTTCCCCGTTTCCATGTCCACCACGGCATGACACGTCCACATTGTGGTCATCCCCAAGTTCAAGTATGGCCACTCATTTTTAATTTGCATAGCATATTATGGGTGTATTTGGAACCACTTAAAATTAAATTCTTGATGAGAATAATCGAGAATCCTATATAAACTACTTGATTCTTTCTAAACTACTTGATTCTTTCTCGGTTGTCTAAGAATCAAGCCGTGAAATGAATCAGAGATTAACTTAGAGCCGAGAATCATGTGGGGACCATACTGGTCGGCCTCTATGGTACACATATCATTTTACACTTAGGATACAGAATTAATGATAAATAATCAGAATTGTCTAACACCCAAATTTTTCAAACGATGGATTTTTCAGGTAGTAGGTTAGCAAAAAAATCCTGATAAAATTAAAAATTAATCCTCCAACAAGCATATCCAAATAGGGCCTATATAACTATATAAGCCCATTAAGAATGGTCATGCAACGGCTCGTACCAATTGGGCATGCGACGGTCGCCATTTGCCCATCTCCCACAGGTTCTTGTGGCCTATGTTTGAGCCGTGCCTATTTCCATTTCTATATTTTTTTACACAAACAAGATCGGATTTAGAAAGGTTGAGAACGGAAACTAAATTGAGATATACATACGGAACAACAAATACAGATGAAGAACCGAAAACTTAAGTTAGGGTCAGATTTAATATTCTCAAGTATACATATATAAAGTCACGTAACTATGTACACGTATGAAGGTCAGACTAATATTCACTTTTGTATGCCATATGTGTTTACACATTGACATACATACATAATAAAATAATAGGTGTATTACAATGAGCTCATGCAATTGTTAGTCATATCCGCACAGATTGAAAACGCGATATATACATGATCATTCTAGATGAAAACAGGATGCCGCACAGAATGGACGTGAAATCCCCTCTCCTGTTTTCGTAAACATAGAAATGGGATAACATAAATACGGAAAGGGGTGAAACAAGAGTAGAAAACAAGACAGAGACGAGATCTTTTTTTCGTTTGTTTTTTTCCCTACTTGCCTTGCTAGCCAAGATGAGTTGAACCGGCTCTGCTGCCAAAGGACCGAAAAAGCTTTACCAACACAGAATATGAAAACAGAGGCACTAGTGCCCAGATGTCCGACGTCAGTAGCGCGTCCGGACACAGCTTCCAGTCCTAGCCAATTGAACTGTGGCTTAGCTCCTAGTCCCAAGCCCATCAACGGGAGCATCCCATCTAACCATCTCCGCATAACTGAAAAAGTTAACCGAAGTGCTACCTGCCAACGTAATGGAAGGGGAGAGCGTGCGCTCGCGTCCATGCCACCATCCCTCGGCGCGCCCCTTGCCTAGCCTGAGGAGGATGCAAGGCAGCAGGAGGCGAGGAGGGAGATACAACAACCGATCTACTTTTGAAACATTCAGACAACACTTTCAACATACGTCTGAAGACCGATGAAACAATTGAAACATGCGTCTGAAACACTTACAGAAAACACATGAAACACTTGAAAAATATTGTAACACATCACGACATCCAAATAAAACACTTAAAACATATGCAACATCCAGATAAAACACACTTGCAACATACATCTAAAAAAACAGATAAAACATTGGCAACAGAACATAAGTGTACAACCACTGCAATATATGCAACATTCCAATCTACTTTTGTAACATCTATTGGAAACCCTTGCAACATACCTCTGAAACAATTGAAACACTTGAAACATACGCTTGCAACGTGCACTTTCGGCACAATGTCACCTTGTTGCTTGGATGAATGGAGCTCGACGTCAGCGCGGAGCTCGATGCCACAGAGTACATGGAGGTCGTCGGTACGGAGGTCATTGGTGGCATAGACCTCGGCAATGGTCGCAACAGGCGGGCGATGCGTGGCCGCGACGGGAGGCACTAGTCCCGCTGGGGAGGCAGGCAGCGTGGACGGGAGTGGCGTCGGCGAAGTCCGTCCCGCGCGAGCAGGGGGGCGCAGCACAGAGCAAGCGGGCAACACGAGCGGGGTACGCAGATGAGTGGACGAGGATGAGCCAGGCCCGGGAGTCACGGGACGGCCGCGCCATATCATATCATTATCGATATGAAAATAGCTTGGGCCTTATTTTTGGTTTGAGGTCTAAATAACTTGCCAAACAAAAAATGTTACAAGAAAGTGGAAGTTGATCGGTTTGATTGCAAGCTTGTGCCTGAGTAGACTAATGATAGAGATAACATATACACTCGTTTATCTAATGGAAAGGTGATAAGTTTTTAAATACATAAACAATATACTCGAGTATATTAATAGCTCTTTTTAAATGTGGCTGTCGTCCATGCATATCCATGTGTACCCAGGTAAAATAGAAAAAAAATCACAAGATAATAGTTTGCGTAGCTTAGAAATAATCATTTTTTGTTTGTTACAGTTGAGTTGCATATATACCCATCATAATTAAAAAGCTAGCAGATTGGCGGTAGATTTGTGTTGCATAACACGTGATCAGACTAACACGTAATAAAAAGCTTGTTGTTTTTTCACTTTCATTTTTCCTATATGTAGCTTCCTAAGGGTATTATCTGCTTGTAATTTCCACTGTATCAATACAAATGAATACCTTCAGTGCCGATTTTGTTAAAATACATGTGTTTACATACTACATCGTTTGTCGCCTCGCGAACGAGGAAAAAAACTCTGTTCCAAAAGAGACAGAGAAGAAACACGAGACACCATGTGGGACCCACGATCCACTCCAAAACCGTCTCCGCCAATGGCGTAGCACCATCACCCGTCACGCGGATCGGCATCATCAGCAGCGCCAAGACCACCGTCCATCTCCATCCGACGGCCGAGACGCACCAGCCTTTCCTTTCCCCGGCCCGCGCGCGCCTCGCCGCCTCCCCAAAAATTTCGCGATCCCGCCTTTGCTGCTGCCCGCTACAAATACCCGCCCCGAAACAGCGACCCAGCATCCACAGCTCGCATTCGTTCCAAATTTCGAACTCTCCAATCTCCTCGAGCCGCCCATCTTCTCGCAGTCGCAGCTCCGATGGCCCGCACGAAGCAGACGGCGAGGAAGTCGACCGGCGGCAAGGCGCCGCGGAAGCAGCTGGCCACCAAGGCGGCGCGGAAGTCGGCCCCAGCCACGGGCGGCGTGAAGAAGCCGCACAGGTTCCGCCCCGGCACCGTCGCGCTCCGGGAGATCCGCAAGTACCAGAAGAGCACGGAGTTGCTCATCCGGAAGCTGCCGTTCCAGCGGTTGGTGCGGGAGATCGCGCAGGACTTCAAGACGGACCTGCGGTTCCAGTCCTCCGCCGTCGCGGCGCTGCAGGAGGCCGCGGAGGCGTACCTGGTGGGGCTCTTCGAGGACACCAACCTCTGCGCGATCCACGCCAAGCGCGTCACCATCATGCCCAAGGACATCCAGCTCGCGCGCCGCATCAGGGGCGAGAGGGCTTGAGCGCCCGTCCTGCTGCTCGTCGTTGTAGTGCTGCCATAAGTAGATGGCGGAGTCCGTTTGGTGCCGTGCTTATCCTGTAGGATAGGAGTAGTAATGTTCTGGATGTGTTGGCCTCACTGCAATGGAATGTGATTGCTCATTTCTGAATTTAATGAATGGTCTTGTTCAGGTAGATTTTGCTGTCTGTTCTACAATTCTGAAATCAATGAATGGCCTTGTTCTGAAATTAATGAATGGCCTCACTCATTCCATCTGGCCTGAGCTCAAACCATCAGTCACTGGTTTAATCCAGCATTCCGTACATGCCTCTGGAACTGATTGTTAATTGGTTATGCAGATGGTATTTTCCCCTTCTGTTTTGGTTTGGTAAGGCTGGTAGTGTCTTGATGTTCTGATAATTTTTCTGAGAAATCTTGATGTCCTTATTTAGTTCAAACAACAAATCACTGCTGATCGGTGCTCATTTCAGAATTTGATCTATGCTCACAGAACTGATATTGTCTGAAATTGATAATGCACATGACATTTTTCCTTCTGTTTGTCCTATAAGAGTCTGGAATCGTCTTTGCTCCAAGAGTCTGTTCTCCATGCTCATGATGACATTGGCTAGTTTGCAGAAAACGATAACTGCCAAGATGTCCAGGAGATGACACCGGCAGCCTGTCTTGAACTATGGACGGCAGTTGCATCTGTAAGTCTGACAAGTATACAATACTGTGAGTCTGACAAGTATACCGTACTCAATTGTATGACAACGAAGTCCAAACTTGGACTCCAAATAACGAAGCACAAACTTGGACTCAAACCATCTACTACCCTCCCATTTGAGTAAAGTGCATAAGTTGTCCCTAAACTTGCGTTGCTGTGTCATCTCGGTCCTTAAAGTTATAAAACGGTCATTTGGGTGTCTAATGTAACACCCCTGGTGTTACGAGCTTACTTAGCACCGTGATTTAGGCTTAAGAAATTTTTTCTAAACGGGTTTCTCGGATGTTTGGTTTAAAACGTACTTGATGCGATAAGCGAATCCTGTGTGGCTTAATTTTGTATACTCGAATCAATGCCCAAATTAAATTACGCAGTGCGTAGGAATATTTAG